GATCGAGGCTCACAACGGCCCAAATCCCCAGAAGGAAGTCCTCCACAGAGAGATGTTGAAGAGAGACCGAAGATTGACTTCAGTCATCGTCGTGTTCAAGGACCATTGAAGATAGCAAGAGGACGAATGGGGCCAGCGTCGTCAGATGAAGAAATTCCAGAGGAGGCTGCTGAGCTAACGGGCTTAGAACCAACAGACGACGAGATGAGAGCCGACGTAAGTGAGAAAGACCAAAGAGGGGAGCTGAACAGCCTTGCACCCCCAAACATGCTGCAGCCAAGGCGCGACGGGCCAGAGGGACCCAATTGGATCAGAGTCGACTTCATCGTCGACAGCGGCGCATCTGACAATACATTGCCCTATGAGACCTCCACAAGGTTTTACGGATTTCTCCTTGGCCGACGGTCGCATTATCCCAAATCTGGGACAAAAGATCGTCAAGATGGCATTTCAGTGTGGGCTGGTTTTGGCTGGCACATTTTCCGTGGTGGACAGTGCAAAGCCACTACTCAGTGTGGGCAAGATGACAAGCTTGGGACACACTGTGAAAACGACACCAGAAGGAGGCCAGATCATCCTGAAGCACGGAAAGACAATCAAGATCTATTACAGGAATGGTGTTTGGAAAATCCCAACTTGAATTTGGTGTCCAGGTGATGGGAAAGAGGATGAAAGTTTTCAAAGGCAGGGAAAGCCGTAAGAAGATGCTGGATCTTCAGCCAAGCCATTGCCAATTCCAGCAAGGCCTACACCAGAGATGGTGAAAGCCCATGAAGTTTGCCATGTACCATTTAGGTCGTGGTGCAGTCACTGTGTCAGAGGACGTGGTAAATCGTTCTCCCACAAAGCAGTTGACCACAGTCAGGATGATGAAGGTCGTCCTGTTGTATCACTAGACTATGGTTTCTTTGGTTTGCCTGGAGAACTACCGGCTGATGCTGTTGGTGGACAAAAGATGCCAGTTTTGGTTGTGCGTGACCGTTTCACCAAAGCAATCTTTTCACACTTGGTTCCTGCTAAAGGCACAGAACACTACTACCCTGAGATTGCGCTCTTGAGGGACATCAAATTTCTTGGTTACACTTCTTTGACTTTGAAATCAGATCAAGAGCCATCAATTATCGCTTTGGCTACTGCCGTCAAGAACACTTTGTCATCACAAGGTATTTCAGTGCAGTTGGAGAATAGCCCAAAAGGAGATAGCCATGGTATGTCAAACGGTGAAGCTGAATCATCAGTGGGAATCACACAAGGTTTAGCCAGGACGCTCAAGGACCATGTTGAACACAAAGTTGGACAACAGTTGGACCCAAGATCACCTATCTTGGGATGGTTGATTGAGTATGCTGGCACTTTGTGCACTTTATTTTCATGTGATGAGAAAGCTCGAGATGGTTTGACAGCGTTTAGACGCATCCAGGGTCGCGATTGGACAGTTGCACTTCCAGCTTTTGGTGAGTGTGTGGACTACAGAGTCAAGACCAACCACAAGTTGGAGCCGCGTTGGGAATCTAGTATTTTTCTTCGAGTACGACTTCACACTACTGAGAAGATCATTGGAACCCCCAAAGGAGTTGTTGTTGTACAATCCTTTAGACGTAAGCCAGATGATCAACAGTGGAATTTGCAGCTACTTCAATCAATTACTGGTACACCATGGGCCCCTAATCCAGCAAAGCAGAAAGAGCCAAGAGAGGCACTGGAACTTCCAGAGCCAGTGTCGATTGAACCAGAACAACCAGAGGAAGAGGTCAGACAAGTTGAAACCAGTGAGTTGAAACCACACTTCAGACGTGTTTATCTTCGACAAGATGATTTTGACAAGTTTGGTTACAGTGCTGGTTGCAAAGCTTGTGCGCTTATACACTCTGGTTTAGATCGTCAAGGAGTCAATCATGCAGAGGATTGTCGTTTGAGGATAGTCCAAAGGTTGCAAGAGACTGAGTATGGACGTAGGAGAATTGAAATTGCAGCCAAAAGAGAAGAGGAAGCCAAACAAGATGCTTCAAAGAGACAAAGATTGGCTATTCAAGATGTTGGTGTTGAACGAGCATCTGGACCTTCAAGTGGATCAGGAATCAAGAGACCTGCAGAGGATCCACCTCAGGATCCTAGGCTTGAAGACCCCGAGCAGCCGGGAGGCAGTGTTACTTCAACACGCCAGCCTGGAACAAAGAGGGATGTAGAGCAAGCTGGTCTAAGCTCTGATCCAATGGAAGACGTCGAAACTTCCCTTACAAACGTTTTACTTTCTCAAAGGCAAGGTTTTCTAGGAGCTGTTTACGCGCAAGTTGAACAGTCACCAGAAATTTTGCCTGTTTGTGAAGAGAACTTTGGGATTGACCCAGAAGAGCCACTCTACTGGGACAACGTTTCGGGAAAGCCGTTGGACACTGCAAAGGTGCAGGAGGCACGTCGAGAAGAATGCCAAGTGATTGATGCTATGGGTGTTTGGGAGGTCATCGATAGACCTGCCAATGAGCGAGTCATTTCCACACGATGGGTGGATGTGAACAAAGGGGATGAAACACATCCCAAGTATCGCTCAAGATTCGTGGCAAGAGAACTGAAGCAGAAAGGAGACACACCTTCACACTGGAGTGATTTCTTTGCTTCTATGCCGCCTATCACAGCACTTCGCGCATTATTTACTTTGGCCGTGACCATGAGGGTACCTAACCTTGAAGGTAAGTTAGCCCAAATGGATCCAACTACGTGCTTGATTTTAATTGACGTCAAGAAAGCTCATTTTTGGAGCCCTGCTCGTAGAAGATTGTTGGTAGAACTCCCAAGTGGAATGGGATATCCACCTGGCAAAGTGGGTTTGTTGCGGAAATCTCTTTATGGAACCCGCGACGCTCCAGCCAACTGGGAGGCAGCAATCAAGGCAGTGATGATGCTAATTGGTTTTCAGCAAGCCAAAAGTAATTCATGTTTGTGCTACCACACCGAGAAGCAAATTCGCATCGAGGTGCACGGTGATGATTTCACCGGAGTAGGACCGAAAGCAGAGTCAGAATGGTTTGCCGCCGAACTTCGCAAACACTGGACGATTGATGTTCGAGGTATTTTGGGACCCCCATCTATGAAAGATGTGGATTACTCAATTGTTATCTTGAATCGTTTGGTGACGTGGACAGACAAGGGCATTGAAATGGAAGCTGATCCGAGACATGTAGACCTACTTCTTCAAGAGGTTGGTTGTGAAGGATCGAAGGTCACAACGCCTTTGATCAAAGAGCGGATCGAAGAGGCTTTGACTTCTGAGGAGTTGGACGAAGAGACTTCAGCGATGTATCGTTCTGCAAGTATGAGATTGGCGTATCTTTCACAAGATAGACCTGATTTGTTGGTTCTTGGAAAGGAACCAGCGAAAGGTTTGAAGCGACCAGGAACACATCCATGCCGTTGAACCGTTGCTTAAGTTCATCGTTGCCAATGAAGCCATAGCCTTTGTCCTGACCAAGTGGCACATACAAATTGTGCGAATCCACTAACGAGTAAGGGAACCAAAGACTAACGGAAAAGAGACAAAGCCACACAAGGCACTACAAATCAAACCAAAATGCAACATTCAAAGCAAACACGGACCAGACAGGCAAACGCCCATGCATGCGCAGACACAGACCAAGGAAGAAGATAGACGAAAACGTGGAGTTCGCTATCTTCGTTCGCATCCGAGAATGATACACCTGTTTCCGAATCAGAAGCAATTTACTTCATTGGAACTTTGGGTCGATGCAGACCATGCAGGGTGTATTAGATCTAGGAAGTCAACCACGGGCACAGTTTTACAGTTAGGTCGTTGCACAATCCGGACAACCTGCAAGTCACAAGCCGTGATAGCATTGAGCTCCGGAGAGGCCGAATACTACGGACTCGTGTCCGGACTTTGCCAAGCACTTGGAGAACAGTCTCAACTTCGCGACTGGGGAGTGCATGTTCCCATCATCGGTTACATGGATGCAACAACGGGACTTTCAATTGGTAGCCGTCATGGATTGGGAAAGGTCAAACACATAGATACAGTATTTCTGTGGGCACAGGATGCCGTTTTGACTGGAAAGGCAAAGTTGTACAAGAAGAGCACTCAAGAAATGCTCGCGAACCTGTTTACCAAACCCTTGGATGCAGGCCGAATGAAAATGCTCTTAGAGAAACTGAACTATCGCTTTTGCGGAGGAAGACATCATTTAGCACTTGACGCATGAAGAACAATGGGGCTGAGCCAGGCTAGGGTAAAGCGACTAGACATGTGCAGTCGCTGCAAATTCTCACTCGCACTCTGTTGAATCAGAGGCACTCCTTCGGGAGGCATGTAGAGATGTAGCGCCTAGTACAGTCATGTCTGTTTGTGCTATGGCATGCATGTTGTATATGTGCCGTAGCCCCTTTTAGATTCTTTGAGAGAAAGATTGAACGACTTCGAGCCCAATAGAGAAAGAGTGAGCTACCCGCTGTGAAGAGGTGCTTACCCACTGCCACATTATTTTTGCAATTATATTAATTATACTATATCAATATTATATTATATTATATTTTATATTATATTATATTATATTATTTTAATTATATTATATTATATTATATTATATCTAGAGAATCCTGAGGCCAAAAAAAAGCCTCCAGGCAAGGAGTCGGAAATTTCCGCTTCAAACCAAAATTTGTGACTCTGAAAACTAAGAAATGCCACCAGTTGGGGAAAAATGCCTCCAGGCCATGTTGGAAGATGTGGATGGCCCACAAAAATGACAAGTTGCACCGCATTTTTGGCCCAGGACATCGATTATTCAAAGCCAAGTGCAATCACATAACATGAAAGCATAGTTGAATCCTTCTAGTTCAGCTGTTATTCTTTTTGGGATCATGCGTTGTGAGCTCCTGCTTCTCTGAAGACCTGATCTTCCACCAGTCTTAGACTCAACCAAGATGTAAATAACAAAGCACCATTCGAAGCGCCTTTTCTTTTTCAAAAGCGCGGCTGTCCAGCCAACTGACTTTCACATGTTCTTATCATAAAGAAATCCCGGTCCATGCTTCTTGCGATGACGGACAAACAAAGCTCTGGATTTCAGGAAAAAGCGCTGTATGACGCGAAATCCGATCGTGCGAGTTGAAACTCGCCTCGCTAGCACACATATTCTCCCAACACAATCTTCGTTTGATTCACATGAGTTCATGTTTGGACTTAGCACAAGCGGTGAGCCGCGCTCAATTTGAATTTTCAAATCCCAAGCCAAATGCTTGAGACCATGGTATTTGGGTTTCAAAGCAAATGAAATCATTCTGAAGTCATGGAGCCCCATTTGGGCCAGCATGTGGTACCCTCTGCAGATGGTCATCATTTTCACGTAAAGCAACTGGGCACATGGCCTCGGAAGGAAAAGGCCGTGGCTTTCAAGCAGCTCATGCATGCCAATGATGTTCTGCAAAACTTTCCTGGCCACACGCAGGAACCTTTTAAGCCCCTGTGGCTCCGTTTCCAGCATCAAGCCTGTGTAGAAGCAAAGCCATTTGGCTAAGAGCATTGAGTCCGATCCTTTTGAGTTCGTCCACGGACTCGTGGAAAATGTCTTGGCATTCAGATATGCCCGTGTAAATGATCTCAGTCCTGGAGATTTGTGATTGGCAGCGCACCAAAGCCTAAAAGAGCCGTGGGCCCGTGTCAGCCTCTCATTGATGTCTCTTGAATCAGAAGCAGTGCCAAAAAAACCGACCCTGCACATGATCACCAGCAAGCTCCCAACCACATCTCTGATCAAGCCAACTTTGCTGACATGGAATGGACCCAAACTGAACATTGCCTCCTGTCTGCCGAAGCTGTCATAGGGAATGGTCGCCAAGTGAGGCGAGTCATCTGCAGGCCACGGACGGGTGGCAAACATGCTGTTGGTCCAGAGGGGTGTGTCGTCCAGCTCCTCAAACGGCATGCCTTGCTGCCCTGCGTGGCAAAAGGGGCACATCATGAGATCAGCTATCTTTCCAAGGTTCGCATGGTAACGGTCAAAGCGGCAGCAGGTTTCTGCGTGGAACTTCATGTCTCCTTTTACCCCTATCAAAACTCCGTGCCACAGGGATTCGCCCAGCTGTATTCCAGTCTCATACAGATGGCACATGTCTTCCGACAGAAGCTGCAAGTGCTTCTGCAGAATTGCTTCGTGTTCCTTGTAGAGGTACGATGGGAGGCCAAAAATCAAATGTTTGGTCAAGTAGGAGTGCCCCTTCAGATTCGTAGACAACCCCTCTGCAACTGCAACTTCTGGTCCAAAACTATCGGCCACACAGTGCGGGATCGCAGATGTGGGAACTTTTTGAAGTTCTGCGTTGCAGCTGCAGCCACCTTTGTGCGGAAAAATTCCGAAGGCCGTCTCGCAAGACATCTCCAAAAACAATGCCCTTTTTGGCCCTCGTCCTTCGTCCCCGTACAAGTTGAGTGGGAGACAACGTGCCAAATTCTTTCCAGACTTGTATATGCAGTGATCAGGGTTCTTGTACTTGAACATAGACCAGAATGCCCGGCACTGGGATTCCAAGCTCACTGTGGGACTTCCAAGGACCCCGGGGAATGTACTTAGCAAATATTTCATCCAATCAGAAACTTTCACCCAATGTGTGCAAAGAAAGTTCTTATCAATTTCATGTTTGATTGCCTGAATTGGCACTGGCACAGTCAAGCCTTTCTTCCGAAATTTCCGCTGGCAATCCCTTTCAGCGTTAATAGCTTTGCGCTCCCCACCGCTAATGACACGCTTCACGTGCGTAGCAGTGACCTTGGGCTTGCGATTTCAAAGCAGTGGCAGAACTGGGTTGAAATTTCTTTTTTGAGAATGTGCAACCCTGTTGTTCAAATCTGTAGCTATACATCTCAACGTGTCCAAAACAAATTGGTGGTTTGAACCTAGGGGTAGTTCCGCAAAATAGCCCTGAAACTTAATCTGCTAAAATCAAACATGTGCTCTTGTAAAAAATGATGAAATGCATCTGGGTGGTTTTCTATTTTCCTGGTTGTTTCCTTTTCTTCTACCATGGACACCCCCAAGTCCACACCAAAAAACACAGGGGCACCGCTTCCCATTTGCCAGTATGCTTGCAATATGTTCTTTGATTCTGTGTAAGATATGTTCTTTTCACAGAGGCGTGTGAAACACAAAACCTTCTGAAGTGGTCGTTGCATGGCCGGGGCCCGCGCCCCTTCACCGAGAGCCTCAGCCATGCATTCAACCAGCTGATCGTCACCTGGCATGATGGGTCGGACAGGTCGGTCTAAGGCAGCGGAGCTAGCTATTTTCGAAAGTGAGGCTGGGGGAGATATATCCACGCCAAAAGCTTGTTTGATTCTTTTTGTGTCACGACCAGACAACAATAATGTGACCAGCAGGGTTCAGCACACTGCTTGCACTTTTCAAGCACCCGATGTATTTGATTGCAGATCCGGTCGGTTTGGAACACAATCGCGCACGTGGAGAGTGTGTATTCTCACAAACGCTACGGCCCCAAGAATGTGAGGCACACTCACACGAGCCAAAAGTATCTACTCTTAAGCAACACCAAGCTGGTTAGCCAGCTTATTTTGCCTTGTTTTTTTTGGCCGAACCCTTCATGGTGTCGGCTGCAGCACGTTTCTTTGGAAGAGCCTTTGCTCTTTGTTTGGGTTTTGGCTCAGCACCTCTTCCTCCTGCCGTGGGCGTGTTGGACCTGAAGTGGGAATGGCAAATTCCGACCCAAAACCGTGAATTTCACTTTGGCCCTTTGCATACCCATGTATACTATATATATATATGTGTGTGTGTGTGTGTGCGTGTATCCGTCTATTTGTGCAGGTAGACATGTATTCGTTTATCTACCTACCTACGTATTTAATCAGTTCCCTACTTACCGGCCAATCTATCTTTCCAGCTATCTACTACCTACCCCACTTGATATCTATCTATTATCTTAAATATAATTCTCTGTCTCTATCTATCTATGTATTTAGAGTCCACCTACTTGTGTGTGCTGTGCGTGCGCGCGCGCGGGACGGCCGGCGTGTGCACCAGAGACCTTAGTGATCATGTGTGTGCGTTCAAAGATTGCAAACACATATCATAAAAATAATATATATGATATTGTTTACTGTATGTATATTATAACTCATGTATAATGTATATATATATATATTTATATAGAATTATTATAGATATATATATAAGAAACACCCTTTATTTATACAAATTGTTTCGCTGGACCTGCCTACATGTATATAACTCTTTTTAACCCTGCATCTATCATCTAGCTATTCTAAAATTTGATGCTGTTCTTGTCAGTTTACTTGAGCCAAATTGGCATAGGTTTCCCCCTTGATTCTACAATATCACCACCAAGAAATGACCGCTGTTCACCCAGCGCCGGTCCAACACGAGACTGTACAAATTCTTTCGAATGAGCTAGCAGTTGAAGACAAAGCAGTTGAAGACAAAGAAAAAACTTAGGGCCCAACTTGGCCCTCTTCTCGATCAAGATCGCTTCCACTGCCCTGGGCAAGCGTTTTTTAAAATAAACAGTGTCTTTATTTACAGGGTTCGCTGAGCAGCTTGGGAAAAAAGACCGCTTCTGTGCTGAGGCAAGTACGCCATTTTGCCGTCACTGTAACAGCCCTTCAACTTCTTCAAGATCCTAGGGGTACGTCATTCAACGCCAGCAGGCCAACACTGGGTCTGGGGCCTTTGGACTGCGCGTTGAACATAAGTAGTGCCTAAATGTTGTTTTTATGCCGTTCTTAATTTGGGAAAGCGTCTCTTTCGAGAAGCCATTGGAAATTCCATTGCCGTACTCTGTGTTGACAGCATCTTCCGCAGCTTGCAACTTCTTGAGAATTTCGTCCATCTTTGATTTCAACCTCACTGGTTGACAGCTGTTGCAAGAGAGAACTAATGCGTGACGAAAAAGTGGCCCAGAAAACATGTCTGGACAAAGACACCCTCAATCAGCTAGGAAACGTTTTTTGTAGATCCACCAGGACCTGCCCTTCAAACTTGTGTAGCAGACCCTGCAAGATCTTAATCCTCTTCTGAAGACATGTTGCGACTTTCGGGGCTGACGAAGCAATTTTGCTACCCTCCACCTCTGGAAACTTGATGCTTTTCATCACTGCCTCTTGCTCATCTTCCCCCTCGTCCTCGGAGAAGTCATCCTCGGACTCGTCAGGACCTCCAGCGCTCGCTGGCGTCGGTGCTGCAAAGCCTGGGCCATGGTTTCACAATCAGGGACGTGACGATTGGGCGAGGCTCAAAAGCTGTTCTGCTACGTAGTAGATGTTATGCAATCATTTGTGCTTGGACAATATCCCAAAGTCCACTGGACCAAAAACGGAAGAGGTTTTACCATTCTATCCCAAAAAAACTCGACGGGGAACTCTTTGACGCAGCTGGGGCATCTGGAAAGTCCAGACCGGGGCCATCTACTGATGGCAGCTCCTGCTCTTCATCAAGTTCGCTTTCGATCATCTGTTCGAACATGGAACGGCGTGTTCGCCTCAGATAGGATTGCCGGTCATTTATGAAAATTGCAATCTAAGGGAGACAGGGAATTGCAGCGAGAAAAGTATCCCACAAGTAGTCAGAACACCAGACTTATGAGTATGACTGAGTGGCTTCTGATTGCCCTTGATTTTCTTCTCCACCCAGTAGAGCGTTCCTTCTCCGTACTTCGACTTCCTGGAAAAATTAAAGTTGCGTTTGAGGGTTGGTTTGGCCATAGCCTGAAACACTATAAGAGTTTTGATCCTGAACGCGTTTTGATCTGACGTTTGGTGATGGAACTTACCTGCAATAATACTTAATACCGGTGAAGAAATTGGCACACAGCACAGCCCCATCCCATCCACGACGGTCCTTTGGTATGCTGGATTTTTGCTGCAAATCTTCTTGATGTTTTTGATTTTCTTCCTTGAAAACCGGCGGTGCAGTTGCAAAGGCACCCTGTTTGTTTCCTATCGAGAGATTCTGAGAGAATGCCCTGCGTGCATAAAAACGAGTCTAGGGTCTAACATCGATGTGCATTGCAGTTTGCTAAATCATCTCAAAAAACATTGGGCTATAACTTTTAGCAAGTTACTAGCTGGTATGCACCACCAAGTATGTATATACTGTATACTAGAACAGCTAAGCTTCTCATCATACCCTTCATCCACCATATCCTTCTCACTCATAAACTCGAAATCCACATTCAAGGATTGCTCATTGATCTCTTGATAGAGCCGCCGAGTCTTGCGAACAAAGGCATCCTATAGGGGCTGATGCTTTGGGGGAAAGGACAGATAGCAAAACAAGGGACTGCCATTGCCCCAAGAGAAGATGTGCGATTGAAAATCCATGAAACACATGTTTAGTGCCCTTGTCGGAACTGTATCCGCACTTCTCAAACAGCGCCATGACCTGGTCTCTTGTGGACAAATCCTTGTACTGTGCAACAATCTCTGGAGGGATCAAAAGGGCACCATCGGCCCGGGGTTTCATGACACGCCTCAGCCTATTCTCCACAGCCTTCCTGGAAAGCTCCTCTGGAGGTGGCTGATTTGGTAGGTTGTCTTCACCCTGATCTGCCACTTCACGGAAAGCACCATCAAGCTCCTCGGCCATGGCAGGGGGGAAGAGTCCGGGAAAAGTAATCGAGCTATGTAGACTTATGTAGAACTGACCTGGGAAGAGGTAAGGTCTGCCAACGTTCCATTCGTAAAAGAAATCATGGGACAGTTTACAGAAGACATTTCCCTGGGTGACCTGTAGAGTGATTGGGTGCAAGGCTTGAATTCAAAGAACTCAATAGTCAGCGGTGAGTCAGCTTCAATTTCAAAAAGCAACAAAAACTGAGAAATATGTAATTGATGTCATGCTGAACTCCAACACATGCAGGTCTCTTTAGGCGTAAGAAAATCGGGACAAGGGCTAGCCGAAGGAGTCGTAGGAGGAATCCGGGACCCTGTCAGCGCTTGGCGTTCTGAACGGGACAGTAGCGGTGGTTTCTGCGAAGAGTCCACCACCACTGTCGGTGGAACGGACTGTTGTGAATCACCATGTCTTTCCGCCTCTCCAAGTCCATTCGGTTGCATCTCCTCTACTTGAGTTGCTGGTACTTCTCTAGGTTGAGCTGATTGAGCTGGTTTCTCAGGTTGCATCGGTACCTGTTGGGTCTCTTTCTTCTCCTTGCATTGTTTGGCCTCCTCTGCCTCCTTGGCTGCTTTGGCCTCTCTGGCCTCTCGTCTCGTTCGAATTTCATCTCTGCGAGCCTAAGTGCTGTGTAGCACACCGGACTATACTATGTGGATCTTTTGGGCAAGTTACTGAACCGCATATATGTTTGCACAAAACATGAAGCTTGTCATAGTCTGGTCAAAGCAGACTAGTGGCTTTCAGTAGGTCCCGTTGGGCAATCAAAGCTGCATACTGCGGATCTTTCTCGAGGGACATGGTTTGGGATCGCACAAGTTCACAACCCCGAAGCAAAGTGGAGGTTGAAAGGGCTCGGCTACAACAAGACTGCATCCCTTGATCCAAAAAGCCTAGAAGTAGTATACGCTTGCCCAAAAGTTCCGGGATTTTAACCAAAATCCCAACAAACTACTAGCTTTTACCATGTAGAATGGTTTATATTTTGCGGTACGGGAAGTTACGCCGCAGACCCGGGAAGTTACGCCGCAGGACCGGGAAGTTACGCCGCAGCCCGTTCCCATTTTTTTACAATTTTTGCTAAGTTTTTTGTTATTTCTCTATTATTTGTGTTTTGCCGGTTACTTATTCTACCAATGCGCCTTGTTGTGGGGAACTTGGATGTGCATCCTCTATTTTAAATTGGAAACCCGAATGCTACATGGAATATCCCAAATATAGACCTAATTTCTCATGAAATTCCCAAACTCAAGTTGTTGATCGCTTAAGCAGTAACTGGGATGAAATGGTGCATATATTCCCATCACCTGTGCCTTTAAAAACATATCTGGAACTGTCGGGTTCCTTGGGTCATTTTCCGTGCAGTAATTGCTGTGACTCAACCCTTCTCCGCCTAGATGGCCAAAGCTTCCCGGTATTCAGGAGGAACAGTAATGTACTTAGAATTTCGCACATACTCCAAGCAAGGCCTCAAATTGGCATCCTCGGCCCATCCCGTTGTGTCATCACCAAGTCCGGAAATGAGGACGTGGAGAGGGGTCTTCACATCCACCTCAAACAGGGCTGCAAGGAAATACTTTTTGAATGGGAAAGAGGGAAGCGAAATAGAGCCTGAGGACAACATTATATACATACCCTTAACTGCATGGCCATTTTTGATTATACAATTTCAACTCCACAGGGTTAACATTTCAAATCCTGCTGAGCCGCTGCTGGCAACTCAGGTAAGCTTCGAAGAAACTGCTTGCGAAGCCGAATGACGCGAGATGCAAATGCTGGTGGGTACTCCCTGGGCTCGGTTGACCACCGCAACCGAATTTTCAAAAATTGATTATGGGATACCTTGTGGTAAGCTAGGTCCATCATATCCCACTCGGAATGAATCATCTGGCAGGGGTTCGGGTGAAACAAAGAATCAGAAGAAAATATTGTATTTGTTGGGTGCCAAAGTACTGGCTTTTCTTCAATGCTGCCGTGGCAGTAAATCGAACTTCCCCTTTGGCGTTAACGTATTTCCGTGTGGTGGAGGGACCCTTCTTCTCTTGCACCGGTAACTTTCCGAAATCCAATTTCCAAATGGAGCGGGCACATGACCATATTTTGGTGAGCTTGTGGTTGGGATGGTAGTAATGCGCCATCCAAAAAGATTGGCGAAAAACCCGGATGCCGGCACGTCTCCGAAGTAAGTCAACCAGCTGTTGCATCCTGTCATGCCTCATGACAATGGATGATCCCGGGTTCTCCAAAAGCCAAACGGATTTGGCAGAAGTGATCAGTAAGAGTATCAAGCTGCACCTAGCAGGAGTCGGTCACGAAAGAGCAGGCCCACAACAATAATGCATTTTCTAACTCAATTGTGCTTTAATTGGCACTTTGGAAGTTTAAACCTCATTGCTGTCTCGCCTGGAAGTCATCAGGTTTGAAAGAAGAACTGATGGTTGTGAAAGATCTCCATTTGGGTTCAGCCAATCACGCTGTGATGTCCCCGCATTGACCATCACCATGCTGCTACAAACCAACCCCACCAACGCCAACAGGGAGCCGTATTTGGATTCGAGCACGGCCTTTATGATCAACCTTGACGTGCACATGGACCAGATTTACCAGTAAGTAGCTGTGAAGTTAATGCAACCAAAAAATATTGTGAACGTTCCTGGGCAAGAAACGCATACCCAGCTTCACCAGCAATGTCCATACAATTTCGATCGTAACCCTCTTCAAGGCGCTTGTCATAAATTACATCATGGGCCTCCGATGAATAACCCAATGATTTTGCCAATCTGGTCACCCTGCCGGTTCCTGCAAACAGCTCGAGGAATTGCAAATCCTTGCCGCCCTCCATCAAAGACAAGAAAGAGATGCAAAGACAGAGCTGGACAAACGCCTCAGAGATCGAGGCTTGCTACTGAAAGTGATGGTGTGGAAGGAGAGGAGGTCATGTATACTATATATATATATCTATATAATATTGTCAAGATACTTTAGGCGCACCGAAATATATGAGCCGCCGCAGTGTCATATCGATTTGCACTCTGTTCATGGCTGCAATCCGTGGCAGCAGGGAATCAATCTGGTTCGGGCCAAAGTTCCTAAAGATCACAGCAAATCCATTGAAGACTCTTCTCGGCTTTTTTAATAGAACCCTTTGTTTTTTTGGCATGTCAGTACGCGACCTCCGCCCCAAGTGACCATGGCCTCTGCATTAAGACATGCCAGCAATGCCAGCATCTCGATCGTGGAGGTTCTGCTTCAAGCAAGATAGCAGGACTCTAGGCATTAGCACCTGCGTGGGCTGTAGAGCGCCTTGTCCGAAACAAAGAAATTTGACATTTTGACCTAGCTGGGAAAGCTGAAATGATCCACAGTAATTGAAACAGAAAATCGTCAGCCCAGAATTCGCCAATTTATTGTTTTCCTCCTAGCACTTCAGCCGACGGTGGTGCCAAAGCAACCTATACCGCAATCTACCGAATGATCAGGTCACTTGTCGCGAAGCAGCTGTAGCTGCCCAAGTTCAGGACCGCAATTGGCCTGGGGACGACAAAAAGGGCCCCCCCAACCTTTACAATTGATGTGCCAGAAAAGTAGGGAGGAATCAAACCCTGATTGCGCATTTTCTGGGCCAGGGCACTTTTCACCACTGGGTCTTCTAAGAAAGTCTTAGCCCAGTCAACTGCAAGTGGAGGAAGGTCAGCCGGATCGCAGTTCTGGTCTAACTTCGGCAAGCAAAACTTCCAGAAAGGGTCCTGGCTGTCAGGTGAAGCTGGCAAGTTGCATATACAGATGTGGGATTAGACAGACACGATATGTATGTTACGAAATGCTGTGTATTCAGTTGATGAAGCCTATTCACCGGCAATTGCGAGGTTCTGGACGTTTAACCTGTACCAAGCCCCACCCATGCCCATGCCATTCCTCCAATTTGGATGGGGCATTCACCATGGGCTCAACAAAATCCTCGAAGGCTTTCCGCACGGAACTCCAGAAAGTTTTCATGGGCTCTTTGGATCCTTGCCAACGTCGACCAAAAGTTCCCTTTGTTTTCCCTCCACCTGATGGTGCTGCACCGGAAGAGGAACGACCCTTGGGTCCTTTGGCCTTTGCTTTTGCTGAACGTTTCTTTGGACTAGGTTTGGTCTTAGCTGACGCCTTCGGCTCCCCACATGCCTTTGGTTTTGCCTTTGCTTTTCTCTTCGGTTTTCCTGCTGGGGTGACCTCAGCATTGTGTTTTTCTGATTCCGGTTCACTGGCCTCTGGTGAGTAGTGTTGTGTTGCTAGGCCTGTGTCGCCCTCATCAGGTGAATTCTCTGCTTTTCTTTTCCTGCCATTTCTGCCCCTCCCTTTGCCTCGACCTTTTCCTTCCCCCCGGCCCCGTCCAGCAGAAGTCGGAACCTTTGCTGCTGCAGGTTTTTTCGCAGCTGGCGGTCTCACGCTAGCTGGCCGTTTCATCCTGGCCTGGGTTTTGGCAGTGGTCTGCTCACCACGGTGTGTGGGCACCTGCAGGGATGTGAAGTTAGGGTCCAAACACCAAGGACAAGATGAACGAAGTAGCATAATAGGACACCTGGGAAATTTCATTGCATAATCTTGCACTTTGCAAACCTTCCCAATGTGATAATGCATTTCGTAAATTCGCCACGTAAATTGTACACATGGGAAGAAAATATAACCCTTCCCAAGGCACATTGTGGGCAAGGATGTCCGCCAAACTTCCAGGGGATCCTATGTCTCTCTCACAACTGGCAGGCTGCGTGGATTTAGGCTCAGGCAATCCATCCTCCAAGGCTTGCTCCTGAGCAGCTTCGGCAGCTGGCGGTGTCAAATGGGACTCCTTTGGTTCGACCTCGTTGTTTTCTGGAAGCTCTGTGGGTTCTGGTACGCCCCTTGGATTCTGTGGGCTCGGGGTGGACGTCATCAGTGCAGCGACCTGGGTGGCCTCAAAAGGGACCGTTTCCATCTCGGTCACAGATTTGCCAGTGCTGGATTCACCTCACAAATCAAAATCATCCAGGAGGAATTTGATTTAAGTGACACAAGATAAGCGGGATCTAAGTAGAGGACGCCAGGTGACAGGCATGTTCTGCCCAACTACCGCAATTTTCCGCTCACTGATGGCAGTCCTGATGTTCGCATAAGTTTGGTGATGTTGGGGGCGTTTTTTTTTCGAAAAGGCGTGTCGCTCTAGTTGTTTTGCAACTCTTTGCAAACAAGAAACTCCAGGTTTTTGAGTTGTGATTCTACTTCATCAAGTTCGTCATCGCATTGGTGGTCAGGTTTATCATGTCTCCATGGGGATTCCCAGGGATGACCCAAGCGGACTGTGGGAGGAAGTTCACCCCCCAGCGTCCAGGCCAAAAGAGTGTCGAGCCTTTCTTCATCCTCATCTGGTTTTCTCTTGCTTGGGGTGCGAAGGGGAGCTGGGGAGGAAGCTTTCTCCATGGGTGAGGGGTAGTGCACAGGTGAAGCAGGAATTTCTGGGGAACAGGGTTGTCCGCTACCTACCTCACCACCCCCATCTTGGCTGCCACTTCCTTCTGCAGCGATTTCTGGATCTTCTTCTCGAATCTCCTCTTCCCCCCCCTCTCCCCCCTCTGCCCCCTCTTCTCCCAACTTGTTGCCTTCTTCTCCCTCTTTTTGTTCTTGCGAGCCACTAGCGCCCTGAACCTCTTCTCCCAAATTCCTTTTTGACCGTGGCTTGGGGGCCCAGTACTTTGTCAGCAAGGCATAGAGCTTAATCAACCGAGGATCCTGAGATGACACAAAAAAAGGTCGGAAATCACATCGTAATCAAAAATGCCTCACCGAAAACATGGGAGATTTAAATCTTGCCCATTGTTTTTTAAACAGACCTGGGTACAGTTCTTGCAGAACCATCATGCCGCCGGCACAGGAGTGTGAACAAGCCTTTCATAGCTGTTGCATCTGTGTGCACAAGTGTCACTGAGTGATGCAGCTCCAAAGCCACTCGGCTAATCTTGACCTGGCAAGCAGCGATTGATTAAGAGGTGTGACGCGGTGGCTTGGAAAGGAATGCTCATGCACTCAAGAAACCATAGCTTCATGAATGGGTACCTAGCCTCATTCTTCAAATCGTCCACCGGTATCATGATAGGCTCTGCCCACTGGGGGGCCCATAGACGGATCAAAATTTCAATCACTTCATGGTTCAGGGCCAAATTTTCGAAATTCATCACCCCTTTCTGCTCGGGAGTCGGCCACGTCAAAAACGAGCCGGTTTTCAAAGCACGGCGCCGAAGCTTCTGATGTTCTTCGAGGGCATTAGACAAACCAGAGATAGAACCATCGATTCGTTTTTCACCATGGCTTTTCCTGGGCATTTTAGAATGGGCTGCCCGTTTGAGCAAAAACTTCGGGGTAGTTAATCGATACCAAAAAAGTTGGATTGCAGCCCAAGCCCAAACCGCAGCCAATCCCCTTGCAGGCGAGCACGGCAGAAGGAGGGCCGGGCACTCCTGAGTTTCCTTTGTGCTAGGCCTCAGGCGGCATAGGGGAAGATGCTATGGGGTGGTACCCATTCGTCTGCCACAAAAAATTCGAAAGTACAGCGTTCTTTTTGAATGAGGCCCCGACACCACACAGCCACTATGTCTTTAACTGAAAGTTTGGGCCTAGCCCCAGGGAGGACAGGTTCCAACTCCAAACTCTTGTTTCTGACATTTCTTGGACGAAACCTGATGGGTCTTAAGTCTCATGCTTTAGGGCGAAAGTCTTGACAAAAATAAATAGCAAGGAGTGCCAGGCCTGAACTGCTCTTGTGGTAGTCCACATGTAGCCCAATGTAGTGAGCCACCAACACCTTGCCAAAAAAATCGGCAGTAAGGAAAGGCACCCCTGAATGGACAACTATGCTAAGAACGTTTTTGGTGGATATCTTAGATCGATGGATGTTGATGATGTTAGAACAAACTGAAAAGTCATGGGCCCCTTATTGTAGGTGATGTTGTTCTTGAGCCAGTGGGACCCTTGCCTCAATGTGTCCATGGTCCATGCCATTGTATTGTTCGCCAGACCTGCGGGGGGCAAAAACCACAAACCCATGTTCCGTTGATTTGATATTGAAAAGAGCTGCCGGAAAATCATTTCTATCTGCACAGGTGCCCGTTTGACTTTCTGCTACGCTTCAAAAGCCGGGTCTTCTCCCAACTGCTCTGCCCGCCACGTGTGAAGGCACTCTCATCCCTCCTTGTTCGCCATCTCCATTTCATTGCCTGAGCTGCGTTTTGGGCAGTTGGTTTGGTGGTATGCCACCAAGATAAGCTGAGTGAATAGTGCTACAATTGTTTGCAATTTTCGTGTCGGTGTGTTGTTAAGAAACGGACAGTACTCTTGCCAATCCCATAGGTATTGGGCCAGCTCATACAAAGAACCCTGTCGCTGAAAATTTTTGACCATCACTTTGGCCTCCTCTTTGCTGATCATTTCCTGGGGCCATGACACAAATTGAATTGCAAACAAACAAGGTTTTGATTCTTGACATGGATTTCAAAAGGTTGTCTCTTAATGATTCAGAAGAGGTTCGCCAACGGCCTTCCCTGGCCAAAGAACATGCTTGGCCTCCCGAAGCCATTTCGGTGGCATACTTGCCAAACCTTCATGAGCGTTAGGGCTGCATCATGCAGTTGCGGTCTTGGGCGAGTTAAAAGCGTGGAATTAGATTTGCAGATGATATGGCTCCCCCGCCTCCTTCTTTAAGGATGTTCAAAGCACCTTCTTCAAAAGTGATAGGCACCGATTGGTCCATTGTCATGTGCCAGGCCAGAATTTAAAAATCCAAGGATCCAAGATGGCTGAGGAAAACTGAAATCAAGTGAGCCAATCAGCTGAATCTGACACCTCTGCAAAGCAAAAGCAGGGCTGGGCGAGGGTTGGCACCTGTCTGGAGGTGCCATCGCTGGCAAGGCTTGGCCGTAAAGTGCTAGAGCCAAATTTTGGCAATATGGGGCCCCCAGAAGTGAAAAGGGAAAAAATGCCTCCAGCACAAAATTTATGTAGCAGGTTTTGCAATAATGACTCTGAAGGGGGAAAAGCAATTCTTCCCTCTCGAGGCATAAATTTCTGCCGTTTGGAGTTTGCAGGTATTATATTATATTATATTATATTATATTAATTGTATTATATTCTATTCTATTATATTATATTTTATTATATTATATTATAGTATATTATATTATATTATATTTTATTATATTATATTATAGTATATTATATTATATTATATTTTATTATATTAAATTAAATCATATAATATTGTATTGTATTCTATTCTATTCTATTATATTATATTTTATTAAATCATATAATATTGTATTGTATTCTATTCTATTCTATTATATTTTATTTTATCATATTATATTATATTATATCATACGATATTATATTATATTATATTATATTATATTATATTATTTTATATCATGTTATATTATATTATATCATACTATATTATATTATATTATATTATGTTATATTATATTATATTAAATTATTTTATATATTATATACAATAATAACCCCAGCAGTATACACTCAAGGCCTTGTGGCTCAATTCAGAGTTGACAACCGATGTTTTCTGGGTAAAATGCATGATCGTCACCTCAAAGGTTCAAGATATATGCTGCGAAGGGAGTTTCCAAGACATCACTTTTTGAAAGTGAGATCTACTTGGTGGCGGTTGCCAGTTTGTAGTTGTGCTTGTACAATTTCGACACTTCTGTTTTCTTGTAAAATGATTTTGTTTGCAATGACTGAAGTGCTCCAAGTCCCTCAGCTTGAGGACTCTCGGCTGACATCTGAAGCAACAGATGGTTGACTTCGGGTGCATGAAGGACCTCATTGGCACATTTGCGATGTTGGATGACATGCAATGCCTACGCCACTTGACCGATTTATTTTGCCCCAACCGTTTTCCTGTATGTTCCCCTTTCTCCAAGAAGTCTGCCTGTTTCAAGTTTTTCAAATTCTACATGCCATCTTCTCTAAGTAACCACCAATCGGCCTCAGGACAGAGTCGGGAAGGATCTTGTGGTGTGTCAGTGTAGTCTTCAAGTGGTTCGACCTTCCGATTTTTTTTGGACTTGGCTCGCTGGTGACCACGGGGACTTGCGCAGTGTGTCAGGAACCCGTAGAGGATCCCTTTCAGCAATTGCCAAGAAGTTCCGTGTGTCGGTGTGGAAACTGAAAGCTTCTGTCACGTGGCATGAAACCTCAAGAACATTTTGAAGGCATTTTCGCCAAGATTTTAGCTGTCTTGAGCCAAAGTTTCAGGGTGAAATTTTGAATGCTAAGCCGAAGTTCAGTGGTTGAAATCATGGCCTCCTTGAAAAACCCATGCAGCATACAGCATCAACCGCGCTAAAGGACCCAAGTAATAAAGTTTCTTCGTTTGTTGGACAGCTTGAGCAAGTGAAATTAGTGACTTGTCGTTCCACTTCAGATGGTTCGCGGAATGACTGTGTTCCAACACCATCTACGGCCTCAGATGTGATGCAACCGAATTCCAAAGCCACGACTTGCAGACTCAGACGACATTCTGCACCAGAAATTGTAAAGGTTGCACAATTCAGCATAGGAGGAGATGACTTTGAGAATGCTTCAGCCACTTCATCCATGATTCCCAGTGCGACCAGTCCCCCTTCCGCCTGCTTCTTCGAACCAGGCTTGGCAGATAGCTCATAGTTGGCAAAATCAAAGGACTCAAAGGACTTGACAACTGTCCAAGGGTTTTCTGTGAAACGTTCAAAGTCAACTTGGCTGAATTTCACATCCCAAGTAATCAAACTCTATTGATTGGAAGGTATCGTGTCTTTTCTCATAGATGTTCACAGGAGATGAGACCGTATCGGATTGGGTTAATCCCAGGTTTAGATGCACCATAAGACTCTGTCACCGGGGCGTGCTTGTGAGCTGCATGCCGAAAAAATCGCAGCTTGTTCGTAGTCAATAGCAGACTACATGAGATGGTCAGAAACTGACATGCCGTACTTATGAAAAATATCGAAGGATACGAACAGAGATTCTGATCTCACGGCTGCAAGCTGTTTCCCATGCAGAGATCCCATCTGGTTTCCAAGTTGACAGCTAGTTATTCCCCTTATTGTCACGCCTGATTTGCGCGCCCGCATCATTTGCATTCCAGTGAACAAATCTTCCGATTTCTCGCCTTGGGCGATGCACTGACGACCTGCGTCAACTGGCTCCCTTTGAAGCTTCCCGCAAACTTTTGCTAGTTCCCAACAGCAGGGCTTGTTGGGTTTCAATCTCTAGGGCTGGGGCTGGCTCGCGGGGACTTGCAGCCTTCTGCTAGTTCCCAACAGCAGGGCTTGTTGGGTTTCAATCTCTAGGGCTGGGGCTGGCTCGCGGGGACTTGCAGCCTTCAAAATCCGGAATGAACCCTGGAACCCTGGAACCCTGGAACCCTGGAACCCTGGAACCCTGGAACCCTGAAACCCTGAAACCTTGGAACCCCGGAACCCTGGAACCCTGGAACCCTGGAACCCTGAAACCTTGGAACCCCGGAACCCTGGAACCCTGGAACCCCGGAACCCTGGAACCCTGAAAACCCTGGAACCTTGGAACCCTGCGACCGTGGAACCCTGAAACCTTGGAACCTTCTGCAACCTTGGAACCCTGGAACCTTGGAACCCTGCAACCCTGCACGCCTGGAACCCTGCTGGGATCCTGGAACCCTGAAACCCTGGAACCCTTGGAACCCTTGGAACCCTTGGAACCCTTGGAACCCTTGGAACCCTGGAAACCTTGGAACCCTCGATGATGGGGAAACCGCCCTCTGGGACCTCGAACCCTGGAACCCTGGAACCCTGGAACCCTGAAACCTTGGAACCCCGGAACCCTGGAACCCTGGAACCCTGGAACCCCGGAACCCTGGAACCCTGAAACCCTGGAACCTTCAAACCCTGCGACCGTGGAACCCTGAAACCTTGGAACCTTGGCACCCGGAACCCTCAAGGATTCTGGAACCCTTGGGATTCCTGGAACCCTGAAACCCTGGAACCCTTGGAACCCTTGGAACCCTGGAAACCTTGGAACCCTGAAACCGTGGGACCCTGGTACCCTGGAACCTTGGAACCATTGAAACCCTAAAACTTCCAAACCCTAAACTCTATGCGCGCTGCGCGCGCTGCATGCAATAAAGTAAACCCTAAAACTTCCAAACCCTAAACCCTAATGCGCGGTGCGCGCGCTGTGTCCCAGAGAAGTAAACCCTAAAAATTCCAAACCCTAAACCATCGTGTTATGCAACTTCCAAACCCTAAAGTTTAACCCGCGGTGTGCGCGCTGCATGCAATAAAATAAACCC